GATGAGCAAAGCATACAGCGGAGACTCTGCATACACTCACGGGTTTGGCGAACCTTCTGGCAACTAAAATGACACTGAGCTGCAGCTTTTGCTCTTTGACCACATCTCTCTCTGACCGAGACCTGTGAGCTGAGGATGGATCATAGTAACAACATCATTTAACACGAATGTTTTCGCAGCTGCTTTATTTGTACATTAACTCGGCAAATCTTGCTACACTAAGTTTCTCCCAGGTGACAGATTGAAACCTTCTCCGGCAGCTTATTTTCACCCAACAAGGCGAAGAAAAAAAAATGAACCAACAAAGCCTCGAGTGTACTGAGAATAAATATGAGCCCTCTGAATGGAAACAAAAAAAAAAGATTCGACATAGTCTCTTAATTCAGAGAGTTAAGAAAAAGTGAGAACGCCATTCAGAGCACAGATGGCAGGAGGTATGAAGGCATGAATTTAATTGCTTCCAGACTGGATGCAAGTCAGAGGTGGGGTGTGTAAGGTACTGTAGCTGCAGGAATACGCTCCAGGAGACTGTCTGATGGGGGGGTGAATATTATTACAAGTCACCTCAGTGTGTTTGGGGTGAAATTAATTGCGGCCAAGGCATGAGCAGCGCCATCAATCTGAGCACTGACCCGTAATCTCTGTTGAAAGTGTTAATTGTTCAAAATCAGGTCAGGTCAAGATAGAAAAGAACACTTGAAAGTTTCTCCCTCACTGGTTTTCGGTTCGATCTGCAGAAGCGTGAAACTGTGGCAGCGTGATGACAGCCGGCTACTGATGTCACCATAAATGACAAAATCCAGGATTGGCTTGCAACAACTAGCCATAAATCCACTGCTGAGTTTGCATACAAAGTGCTTCCTAAGTTGTTCCTGATTGCTGTGTAGCTTCATCTGATTTACTGAATTGGGCTGCATCATTTAAACCTTAAGTAATGTATAAATCAGTTGTTAAGGAGTATCCAAAGTCTTTGTAGCACAACAGTCTGTATATACTGTCCATGTGTATATCTGTTGTGGCGCAGCTTTTGTAGTAACTGTGAATTTCTTTCACTTTCCTTTTTCCTCTCTCACAAACACCGAGGCCTCTGATTTCCTGGCGTTTCACTACATTACACTTCCACAGTGACGGCGGCAGATATTTTGGGCTAATGTCATTCGCAGGAGGAAAGACGCATAAATATTTTGTCAGGATCTCGCATTGTTTGACACGGATTAAGTCCTCGGCTTGCGTGGCGGCGAAGCAGATCAGTGTTTGGCATTTAGTTTTTTTTTTTTGTCTCCCGGATAAAATTTTGATTACATTCTGCAGAGCGTTGATCCAAACAAAGAGCGAGCCTCTTGTTGGGAGAATAATTCCTGCCTTGTTCCTATACCATCTGCGGAGAGGCCCGGCTAGTAAGCAGAAAGGCATTTAGATGGAAGTGGGCTGAACCAAACAGAATCAGACGGGACAGGATGTCACATCAGTTGATCCACAATGTTGCGCACAAGCTCATTTAATGAATGACATGCTGCTATGAATGGCTCAGTTTGAATGTTTTGCTGTTTAAACCTGATTGAGTGGAAAGATGTCGCTTTGGAAAGATAAAATGTGACCACAGCAGAGCTGCAGTTTGTGTGTGTGGAGGGTTGAAATGCCTCCACCGCCCACCCATTTCCCCTAATTCTTTCACACTTAACATGACGATATAATGAATAAGCTGTAAAAGTGTTGCATGACATTCCATTGAATTAAGTAACGTCCTGTGCAGATTACAACCTGGACTGCATGTGAAAGGCTTGTACCTCTGGTACTCACAGTCAAACCTCTGACCTGTGATAAAGACCTCCATTACAGTTCAGTTAAACTCAACAGCATCTCCTTTAGCTTTTAAAACCAAACATACATGGTCTATTTAGCAATGCATTGTCCAAACGTGAAAAAAAAAAAAAAAAGGAATCAAAAGGTCTGTTTGCTCTTCCGCTAATAAACTAAATCAAAGTGACCAAACCTCTTTCTTTTCCGCAACATCCGGTGTCTGTTTGTTTTGGCTGCGAGAACCATGTGAACACTGATGAGTGTGATTTTACACTGGATAAGACTCGAAATTTATTACATTAAAACATTACAAATTAAAGCCAGGCGAGCTGGCAGGGGGAGAAAACAGTGATTGTGTCCAGGGCTAGTCCCTGAGATTCATTTGCAATTATTTCTGATTCCCTCATGTCTGAGCCGCGGCGTTGCCAAGAGCCTGTTGAAGAACGATGCAATGTTGCCATATAGCTGATTCAGTTTTTTTTTTGTTGTTGTTTTTTTTTCTGTAGTGTGTAAATAGCACCGTTGGCTCTGTGTGATTTCGACATTATCCAGACAGGCAGACGGAGCCAGCTGATTGTGGTCTGGGCTCAGTCTTTGTATTAGTGCACCGGGGCTCCCAACATATGCTTATGGTGCTTTGGGTCCAAGTCTGCGCACACGTACACTTCATACATGAACACACACACTCGCAGACACACACAAACAACAACAAAATAGTACTCCGGGGTCCTCTAGCGACTCAGATGCCCTGCCCAGTCTGTGGAAGCAATTTAAACCACACAAGTATGTCGAAGTGGGACTCGTGCCATTTAGTGTACATATTGGATTTGGAAACTTTGTGTGAACTTTAACGTTTAGGAAGGCGCCAGGCTGGCATCCAAGCTTGCGTGCACTTTAATTGTGAAATCAGCGCAGCGTATTAGGGGACTACAATGGGCTGATACTGCAAAAGCAAATCGGACTGTCTCTTTCAAAATGCGGCCATACAGTAGTATACATCATCCGACCGCAAGTGGACACACCCTGATTCTACCAGGCTTTTCTCATCTCTGCTTCAGACCACAACACCCTCTGAGGTAGTTTATGAGAAATACAGATGTCTCATTGAGTGAAAATAAACAGAGGCGGCGCTGAACCATGTGTGCGCCTTAACCGAATTAGCCTTACATACATACCGTACCCTCAATCAGCCAAATTAGTATCGACTCCGGAGCGCACCGTGAGCTCCACTGAGTTGTACTTCACAATCACCGAGTAACATCTACCCATCCAAACAAGCACCGAGTGATCTCTCTCTTTCTCCCTGCGCCTTTTCTCTGTGTTTATACTGAAGCTTTGCCTTTGAACAGCCCTGTGCCTGTATCCTATTACATCCAGAGGGATGTACTGAGGGTTGGTATGGCGAGCGAGCAAGCAAAGAGGAGGCCTGTGCGTGATCCTAATCAGTTCAGGCCTATAGAGCAAACGCTCTCTAATAACTTCTGTAGATGAGTCCAACTTGAGAGGCAATACAAACCAGATCACTTAGGAAATTCCAGGACGCTCGGTTTGCAGCGAATGCCCCTCTGCTGAAGGAATGCGCTCTAACATTTCCCCTCAGCTCCCACACACACACACAGCTGCCCTTCAGAAGAGCTGAGGCGAGCAGGCCGCTGCAAAGGCAAAAGAGGGAGAAGAAAGAAAGCCAGACAAAGCAGCTAATGGCTGGTCTCCTCCGCTACATGGGGTCTCACACATATAAACATGTCAGGAGAGGTTGGGTCAAAGGAGAGAGCACGAGGTAACGGTGGTGAAGAGAGAGAAAGGAGGAGGGGAGAGAATGGGAATAAGCTGCCTCAAGTTGGAATTATAACAAAAGGAAAAAAAGAAAAATCAATCTGGGGTGACGGATCTGTGAGGAAAATGACAGAAGGATGTAGAGGAGGAGGATGGAGGCAGGAGGAAAAGGGAGTGTTGAAGGAGGAGAAGTGGCAGCACCGAGACGTTCCTGAAAGCAGCCTTGGGGTGATGGATCGTCAGAGCCGCTTGACAGGATCATCCATCAGGTGAGGAAAAAAAGGTGGTGAAAAGTAAAGTTCAGACAAACATGTCACACCAGAATCACCAACGAAGACACTTCCAGAATCACAAAAGATGCTGGAGCGGTTTTTATGGGTCCAAACTGATCTGGAGGGAAACTCTGTGTGACCTGCGTTTTTTTTTTTTTTTTGGAAAGAGTGGTAAACCACAAGGAGAATAACTGCGCTATTAAATAAAGTTAGTTTGTCCTATGGCTGAAGGGTGATTAAGATGTCGCTCCTAAAGCCTGGCAGCTGTTCAAGATACATTTTTTTTTTCAGCATACGACTCAGGCATGCAGGCTCCGCTGTACGTCCAGTATCCACAACCAGTCACTGAGGGCCTTCAGGTTTCAGTACCAAAGATGTTAAAGATTAGAGAAAGGAATCCAAGTATCTCTAAGCAGGGCTGCAGACCCATCAATCTAAATATCTAATCATCTTAAGCCCCGGACACTATAGAGTGAAGCAGATGTTCCTGACATTTTATGGCACCTGTGGGATCTTTTCAGTGTCAATCTTTGGCGATATTAGCGAGGACTATAATATCAAGATTAACATCCCTGCAGAAAAGCTTCTACTGTACATCAAATATTACTGTAAAGGCTCTTGAGTTACCGTCCTGAGCAGCTTGAACACATGCTAAAAAGCTCTGCAGGGTCTTCATATGCAGTGTTTCTCAAGAGGAAATCATTCTCCGAGCTTTGTTATTCCAAAACACCGAAGAACTGCATCAACAAATTCTGCAGGAGCTCGGCGTTACATTTTTCTCGCATACTTTTCTCTCTTTATTTGGATTTTTTTTCTGCCCAGTGGCGGGAAAATGGGTCAAGAAGCGGGGGAGAGAACAGAGTGGGGCCTCCACGTCCCTGTGTTGAATATGAAAATATATTATAGCATAATGTGTTCAGTATGCAAGCTTGAAGGAAACCATATGAAAAGATCCCAGACAAAGAGCCTTCTGTGTTCCAACTGACCCCCCTCCCAACCCCATCCTTCGTCTGAGCGAGAGACGGAGAGGGAGGGGAGGAAGAGAGAGAGAGAGAGAGGGGAGAGGTACAAAAAAAAAAAAAAAAAAGGGGGAGGTGTGTGTGCAGAGTTGTAGGAACTGAAAAGGGGCAGTACACACCCTGGCTGCTTCACACGGCCAGACCCACCGGAGTACAGGTGAGCGGCATTCACCAAACAAGAAAGGAGTCGTGGGATCCCCATCTGTGGCCGCGAAACTCTGCAGATTCTTGTCACCTGCAGCCTATTATGTTTATCTATACAGGGTAAGACGCAATCTTTGTTTCGCAAAAGAGAAAGAAAGAGGCAGAACGGGGAACGCAGTGTGCAACAGAGGAGGGAAACTTTGAAAGTCTTTTGTTTGAGTAGATGACAAACATCTGTGGCTGCTGTTTTTCCCTCGGTGCAGGCTTGCAGAGGGGTGGGTTTTTTTTTCTTTTTTTGGCTGAGTGCATTAACACTGTGGTCACTGATATCCAGGCCTATTGTCCTGACTGTGTGGAGCCTGCTGTGTAGCCAGGTTATAGACTTGTTGTGCACTGTGTAACATTAGAAGGTGTATCCAATTAAAGTCCTGGCTGGAGACTGTATTGACTTACATATATAAGTAATTGCTTCCTGTTAACACAACAGGTGAGGCCCATTAACTGCTTTACAGGGGGAACAACGGGGGGTTTTGTTCTGTTCTGCTACGTGTTACAATACAGTATATATATATTAGTAAATGATACCCTTTTACTTTTGCCGTGACCGAAGATGCTTTGAAGCTGCTTTGTAGAATGTCTTCAGGTGAGCAGACTAAGTCAATACCGTTCAACAAATAATCCTTGCAGTATTGATAACACGTTTTACATTTTTTAAAAAGTGCCGGCGCTCTCTGTCTTTGATGTGTAACAGTTTTCAGATTATGACTCTGATTGTTTTGGAAGGTTCATCCCTCCTGGCGCAGGATCATACGCACCTACTTCAAGTATTTATCTCTGCCTCTTGAAGTTCTCCACCTGTGACTACGAGAGCAGGATGAGCCGCAACACACAAGGCAGACACTTCATTACAAGGTTTTCCACTGCATGATTTATGAGTGCACTCACAGAAATCCCTTTTAAAAAAGCAAAGACAAACAGGGAGAGACATTTGCGAGTCTCATTGGAGACGGTGCCTCGCGGTGTTTTAGATGTCACTCATCGGCCCGCACAAGCCGAGGCATGTCAACTATCGCAGCCTCCTGAGGAATTATGAAGCAGGAATGCCCATTTTTGGAGCACTACTCCAAATTATTTCGTAGCGCAGCAAAGGGCCCTTGAATGGCTCTTTGTCTGAGCAGGGAGCAAAGGGCCCTGCTGAAGCCTTTAGCATTTGCAGCTGAATGATCTGCGCATGCCAAACTGTAAAGGATCCAAGCATAAAAAAAAAAAACAAAGAGGCGAAAGATAGCAGACGCACAGCAGCAGCAGATTTGCCCCCCGGAGGGATTCAATCATAAAGGCTCGCCAGTCGACGTTGTGACCAGATGCCTCATTATGAGCTCAGTAACTGATACACCTTCGAGTCTTTACAGTAGGTGGAATGCACGCTCACTCGACATCCACACTCACCTCAGCACATGTGCGCCCAGAGCAACTGATGATGTACAGATGTCATACCTGAGGTGAAAACGCATGCAGAATATGAGTTATTAGGTGGCTGACATGCTCTCTACAAGCTGGCTGTTGACGCAGATGTGTAATAAATGTACAAGACAACTGCCATGAGGGACAAATGAATGATTACAGTTTGCGAGGCTGCCAAAGCAATTTCTTTTGTGCGTCATCAGCGTGCGAGACATGCTGCAGAGAGACGTTGACCATGCACAGGGACTCTGTGGTTACACGCTGAGGTGACCTGGGGGCCAAATTGTAAATTAGATTCTTGATCCTGATCAAGGTTAAAGGGTGGCACTGGAAAACTAGAAGCCAAGAGTAAAATACTTTATGCACTTCAAGGTGACTGGAGACAGGGTGTTGATGGAAATGACATCAGACCATCAGGTTTGGCGAGCAGATAAGAGTTGGAGTGAAGTCGATATCACGAGTTAGTTGGGAAGAAATACAACACCCAAGCTGCAAATTAACAAGCTGGGATGAAAAAAAAAAAAGGAATAAAAAAGATTGTGGCAGATGCAGATTTCAACACTCCATATGTTGGTGTTTTGTTTTACTGACCCAGAGTCAAATCTGCATCTCTGCTGCTGTCAGTTTGGAGTATTCTACATCTGTTCTGTGTCTGGCGCTTAATAAATATTTGGAGATTGGATCAAAGATGGAAATCAAACCATATTTTAATCAATCTGCTACAGCGGCGGGAGGACACGTCCTCGACATGTGTTCACCTCTGTTCTCACTGATTACAGTAAACATGAAATTTTGGCACAACGACGACAACTGAAGGAAATATCATAAAACCCACTGTGGCAAAACAACACGGCGAGGACAAATCTATAAAAGCCGATGTTAGTTTCCAAATGAGACGGATCCAAACACGGATCGCGCATCTGGGGGAATCAAAGAGCTATTGTCTAAACAACACTAGCCTTCTCTTATTGTGCGGGGTTTTTATCTTTTGGTGGTGCAGTGTTTTTTTTGTTTGGGTCGATTGTGTTCGGGGACCAATGAGAACGTCCTTCTACGTGTTGCCATGGCCGTTGCTTCATCGAGTGTCTCTTCAAGGGATGCAACCGGCGCTTGCACACCTGAGGAAAAGATGAATGTGAGCGTGATTGCCATGCCTCTGAGGAATGTTTGAAACGGCATTCGAAAATAATGATTATGTGCGCAGCTCTCCCACTGCCGAGTGCTCTAGTAGTGACTCACAAGCGAAAACAATCGCAACCCCGATCAGCTTCAAGGAGAGGCAAGTCTGATCAAGGACAAGGATGTGCAAACACTGGTTTATCATTACAAACTTTGCCAGTAGCTCTTATTGGCTTTGAAGGGGGAACATGACACTCTTGATCTAATGAAATACTTTGCAGGATAAGAGGAGGGGTGACTGTAGGACGTTCATGTTTGTCTCCTGCTTCATGGAAATCTCAAATCTCTCAATCTCTCCTCTCATCATACTGTATCACATCGCAGACAGAGATAAATGGAAATCTTTTGGCAGGTTTACTACAGATTTCCAACACCGTGAACACTTTGTTGGACACAACACTGACTTTATCACACTTATATAAAGGCTTCTCATTTCCTTCTCCACCCTTTTAGTCCGACTACAGTTCAAAGGGAGAAGTCTGATATTTATCTTTGTCTCAAAAGTGGACATTAGTTGAGATTTATGTTTCCTGGAAGTAAACCGATGTTCATCTAAAGTGTTAGATGAGCCAAGCAGAGTATATTAAAACATTCTTCAGCCCACATTCTCAAAACTCTATAAAAACAGCAGACTCTCTGTCGACATGAAAGGTCAGGCCTTTTGTACCACTTTTCTTGAAACCATCAGAGATAATACTTTAAATCCTGCACAAAGCAGTGGGTTCAAACTCCATTACTCACAGAGCAATGATGGAGAAGTTATAGGCAGAGGGAACATCTTGCTTTTGTCTTTGTAAATGTCATATTTGCATAACACAATTAAAGAAAAGTTCATTCAAATGCTTTTGACTTTTACATAATTGCATTTTAACCTGCGCTTCTTTGTTTTGCAGGTCCTTCTGGGGAGAAAATGAACACGGAGAGTGATTAAAGTGCATTCACCAGCACATTAAGCAGTATTTTTTTTGGCTGACTGGTTGAACAAACAGAACCCACACATCAAATCTTTTTCTACATGGTTCAGTTGTGAAGCTGTTGACCACAGAATTACTTAATTCATGACGAATCCATTGCTGCAGTGTGCTGATACATTTTAGTATTATTCAAGACTACCACCAAAAGAAATAAAAACTTTCCCTCCCAGTCGCGGTTTCCTGAAAAAAAAGCAGAAGAAAGGAATCGATTATCTTGCTTTCAGAGACTGTATCTGGCTTTAATGTATGAGAAATAACACAGGACCTCGGAATAGAGGAACTCTAATTGAATGCTTTTGAACACTGAATACAAACCAGTCGCTGGAATGACCTTTCCAGAGTGAAATGTTATTCCTCGCATGCACCTAACAGCAGGAAGCTACCATATACACAGTTCCCCTTCACGTCACCGTAGAGTTATGATCTCCAAGATAAAGGGCAGATCCTTTTCTCCGAAAGAAAAGTCATCTGCGGGCTGCTGAGGTTGGGATGCAGACAAAAAGCATGTTTTGGTGACCAAAATAGAAAAGGAGGAAGAGCAACATCTGGGAAAGAAGGAAGGAGTATTAGAGAGATGCACATAGAGACAACTGGACTATTTCTTAGCACTCTATGCCAGGTTTTTAACAGAGCACAACAAACTTGTGCAATTTTCGTGGCGTTTGTCCATGGGAACTCATCCAAGACACATTGGAGCTGACCCTCCTGGGAGGTCCTGTTAGACAGAGAGCAACATTTCATGAAGACCAAAGCAGGAGCACACTTCTTCCGTCAAAACTTCGGCTGTCTGCAGGACAACATTTGGAAGGATTACTGTTGAAAGTGGATCTACGACTGGAAGCAGCAACCTGGAACGCTGAGCTACTACTTTCTGTTTTTGTGTGTTTTCTTTATTCACTGGCCGCCAGTAAGGAGTAAAACTTCCACCTTCCAAACGGACTGACGGCTTCATCTTAGCAGGACAGACTGAAACAGAGGCGTCCTTTTGTGGGTAGCAATGGAGAAGGGACATACGTCTATCAGGAGAGGGGTGAGCTGGAGTCCAGGTGGATTGAGAAAACCTCTACAGCTCACGCAAGACATGCACACCCCCGGGACAGACTACAATGCATCATGGGAGAAGACGGAAGAACACATGAGCCGGAAAACAAGTAAGTGTTTGTTTATTTGGCATTTTCGCTCCTTATTTGGGATGTTTGAGCCGCAGCAGGCAAGTGTATTGTTACTTCATGACAAAGATTTGTAGCTGTAAATCCGTTTCCAGAGGTTTGTTTGCTGTACGTTGCTTCACTGCTACACTGTGGCTACAGTATATCATTATAGCAGAGAAATCTACTGCTGAGAAGGGCAGACAGCACATCGAGAAAACAGGCAGCCCAGACTCATCAGTGCAACCTGACACAGTGAAATGCTCCCTGAAACATCTGTTTCCATGCCATAAAAATACAGTCTGCCGAAGCAGCAATGGAAATGCAATCATGCATCACTGCTAAAGGGGCGTCTTAATATACAACACAGCCGCTGACGATGACTAACTTGTGGGAAAAGCTGTTTGGAAACTTTTTTTTTAGGCTCTTCTGTTTTTTCTTTTCTTTTCTTTTTTTTTTTTTTTTTACTTTCACAGCTGTCAACTCCCAGGAAAATGCAAAAAAAAAGTTCACACATCATAATAACACCAAAACCTGTTGTTAAATTACAATGTGGACAGTGTTGGATGGATAACTACCTCTGGGCGGCGACGAGTGGGTTTGATGCACAATTCAAAGTGAGTAAAAACACATTGTGCATTGTAACAGAAAGGTCATGGCCACCCAATAATTGTACCTGATAGAGATCTACGGCCTCTGTGCTTCCAACACCCTTCCCATCACTCATTACTCACTAATTAGTTTCCTCGAATGGAACACAGATCACCAAAAACAACACAAAGGCTCCGACTGGGGTCGACTACTCCTCTGCGGAGACCTTTCGCAAAAGTAACAATATGAGCAGCGGAGCTTGGTTTCCACCTCTGTTGCTGGGCTTTTATTTATCCCATGGGATCCACCGAGAGCTGAGGTCACAGTCGGTCTGGTGAGATCCCAGGACCTCTGTTAATCCTTGTCTTTCCATACCGCTTCACACATCACCCACGGGGGCCGGTGCTGTCATCCCGCTCACCCCGCAGCCGTCACCCAGAGAAAGATAACATCCGACAGGGTAATCTGACCTTTGATACACAAATGCAGGGCTGGCCCCCTGACTTAAATCCCGCAGCTGAGGGGGAAGTTTTCCTGTCTGCTCGCACCCACGCACAGCCGAGGGGATGGGACAGGGGGGCAGAAAGATGAGGCAGAGAAAGTAGGTGGTAGAAAATATGATGTAGAGGCTGTTGCATCAGTGCGGCGGACTGGGTTTTGTCTCCGCTAGAGGACAGGAAATTCCTCTGCTGCCCTTGCAGGTTGGAGTTCAGGGCCCGGAGGGTTCAAAGAGGGCAGACACTTGGTTGGAGAGAGTGCACAATAGACACACATTGCGATATCCCAGCTGACATACAGGGCAGCAGGGGTCAGGTGTTGGAGATCTGGAGTCTCAGTGGTCTAATCCATATAAACATAGGCTGGAGTATCTCTGGGTTGCACTTCAAAGGCTGTAACAAGGGTCAGATGCTTCCCCGCCACCACAAGACATTAGACAGAGATAAGCTGCTCAATACTTACCATTGATTGGACACCACTCCAGAACTGTCAAAACAAAGTGTAGTCTCTTTACAGCTGCTGCTGCTGGTGCTGCTGCTGCATCAATACTTTCTCAAGAGCAGCACTGAGCTTTTGTTCTCAGAGGCACGTCTCAGTTTTTATAATTAGTCAAAAGCCTGTGGAGGTTGTGGGTGCAGATCTGAAAAAAAAAAAAAAAAAAAAGTGAAAGAAAGCTGGAGGCTGACTGACAGACAGCGCAGCCTCCAGCTACAGACCCCCTCCCTCCCTCCCTCCCTCCCTGTTCGTCTGTGTGCCGGACTATGCAGGAAAAAGAAATCTGATCCTGCGTCTCGCTCCAGAAAGGGGGTGTGAAGCTATCAGACGCAGTTAAATTGAAAACTCTGGTGGAAGTACAACAAAACAGCGGAGCTCTGAGTTTTGACACGAAAAAGGTAAGGGACCAGGCGCTCAAGTGGAGCCAGAGCTACAAGCAAACTTTCAGAAAACTTGAGTATTGATGTTTTATAGTCTGGAATTGTAACTGAGAAGCAGCTTGTGCTTTTCAGCTTTGTTAAGAAATATGACTTAGTGGCACTGCGTTGTTTTTAGAACAGAAGACACCGGCTACTGTCCATAAACGTCATGTTAGTTTTTCCTCATAGCTGAAAAAGTTGTGAAGAAAGTCCACTGAGCTTTATGTGCAATCAGTTCATCATGTGATCTGTGATTTGTTATCTGCACTGTGACTTTAAATTCAAGTCAGATTTATTCTCACGTTCACATCATCCTGTAAGATAACATTTAAAATTCTCTAAATAACTATCAAATGAACTGAAAACTTTGATGATCTGATGCTGATGAGTGAAAAAAATCTGATCAAAACTCCACATTCGGTACAAAGTGCGACTTATATTTCGGTCTCTGATGGGATTTGCACCTGCATGTTACTTGATAACCAATCTGGCTGCAACTCAAGTTAGATGTTTACGGTGAGGACATTTCATTTCAAGCTCCACTGCTCGGGTCCATTCAGGTAGCATGAATTATTAACAGTAAACAGCTAATAAAAGTCTTCATTGGGACCTGTGGTGGTGCTCCCCCTCATATTGACAACTTTGATAAAAAGCACTGACTGTGCAGTAAGTACCTGTGTGATAGGTTTGTTCATTTCTCTGCTGTAGTCTATTAAAGAAGGTGATTTATGCTCGTGCCAATAACGGTGCTTGTTTAAAGGGCAGTGGGATAATGCTTTTATCCTTGTTATACTGCCACAAATATGTAATGTGGTTCATATATCTCTGTTGGGTGTCAGGTTGACTGATCTGACATACTCATGCGTTTCTTTGCAGGTATATCCAATGTCATCAACGTAGGGTGTAATATTGTATATATAAATATGCTGCACTTTTTATAATAAGAATTGACCCCAGACTGCATGTTTTATATGTCAACAATAAGATAATAATGAGATGTCCTGCCCTTGAACTTGAGCTGAATTTATGTAAAAGGAACTGAAGGGTGCCTCACAAAGAGTTAATTCAATTACTGTGAAGGCAGACTTAAAGTCTGTACAATCAATGACAGATGCATATGATTCCTTCTTACTGGGGGAATGATCATGTTAGCTTCATACACTGTGCCAGGAAAAACTGCATGCACAATCAGCTCTATAGGACAGCTTTACAAGTGATTGATTTACACATAATTATTGTGATTGGCACATAATTACATCAAATAATGTAGCTGTCTGGATCCATCACCTTATGAAATGAATATAGAGTCATGGCCATGCCAGCTGTCTGAGAAAAATCCTACAGGGACATTAACTATCTTCCATCAGTCAGGGTAACATGAATTAGATGAATAATCTACCAGATGTGTCACCATAGCGACTTATTTTCCTCGAAAATGTCCATCAAAGACTCTCTGACTGCAGGATTTTATTTAGGTTCTTTGAAAAAAAAGCAAAGAGGCTGCTTTGATTTTCCTCTCGTGAACTTTGAAGCATGATGTAGTCGCTATATTTAAGAAGGGAACACTTGATTGTATAGTATGTTTATAGACAGCAGTGAAGAAATGACATTTTTGGAAGCTGTAGATTGTAAAAAATGGTCTATTAAGGGTTTGAGCTGCAGTATTGCACAAATTAACTACAGAGAGAAACCAAAGGCATGCTGGAAGCACAGGCAGGGAGTTTTCTCAGCAGTGGAGGAATGCTCAGGGAGGGACTACTGCAGATGGCAGAGGAAATAGCTCCATTGCCTGGAAGGGAGCTCTTAAGCTCAAAAAACAAACTATCAGTTTTACCATAGACATGTTTCATCTCATAATTTCAAAGTAATCAGCAAAACTGCAGAATCAGTGTAATACACTGACTGACAGGAATTTATTTTGGCGCCGTAGCAGACCTTGACCCAGATTTTTTTATTAACTTTACACAACAAGCTGTGTCTCTTTATTAGCATGTTTATTTCAAATGTTTCTCCGCCTACGTCTGTTAGCTCATTGTCTAACTCTTTGGTCTGCTGAGTCAAATGTCCACAAAGCCTTATTTTTCTCGCTAGATTGGCTGGAATAAAAAGTACGGCAAAGAACAATCAAAACCATATGGTGCACAAACAATTATGTGGCTTTTAAAGAGAATATTCAATCCCAGACTTGTTAAAAATTTGTCCTTGCTGGTTCACTCTATTTGTACATAAAAGCGGTTTGGTAAGCTTTAATTAGATGTTGAGGGAGTTGTCTTTGCAAAGAGGCACATTGCCAAGTCTGCCAAAGTTTGAGCCCCTTTTATCATTTATCAGACATCTCAGTGAGATGAAAAGACAAACTCCCTTGTTGCTCTCATTGAACTGTCTGTCCTCTGTCTCCCTGTCTGTTTCAATTCAGATCTGACCAGGAGTGCCAGTTTATCTGAGAAGGAGCTTAAGGAGGCTCGTGTCAGGAGTCAGATCATTGCCGCTCAGCTCACCATCCCTTCCAACTCCAGCTCCAGGGGTGTGCAGCTCTTCAACCGCCGCAAGCAGAGAGTCAATGCCTTCACGCTCCAAAGCTGTGGCGAGAGGTCAGATGAGGACAAAGCTGAGGATGTGAAAACCAACGCCTCATCCAACAAACTAACATGGGCAGAGAAAAGCAGTGAGGAAAAGGATAGAGACCTGAACTTTAAGAATAACACTACCAAGCCACTCTTCTCACCACCAGTAGGGGTACATTCAGTAGGCGATATCATGGACGCACCAGGTAGAGATTTCCACAAAGAGGAAGACATGGAGGGCAATGTTATCCAGGAGAGACATTTCCTCCCTGTCAAGGAAGAGCAGGAGGAAGAGGAAGAAATAAGGGATGAAATCCACGAGGAGCTAGCGGACAGCGTCAGGCATCCCCCAGGAAGTAATCACACTGATCCAGTCATGATGGGACATGCTGAAAGGGAAGTAGAGATAAATGGGGGCCACACGGGGCCAGTTCCTGCCGCAAAGCTTCTTAATGGCTGTCACAGTACCTCTGGACCTGAGAGAGCATCTTTATCCACATCCAAGCAGTCGGCCTCCATCACCAACAGAACTGCCAGGCCCTTTTTCTCACCGCCAACAGTGCAATCTCCAGAGGCAGGCAGTCCTGTCATGGACATGCCACCTCCTCCTTCTTACTCCACCCCTCCTCTACCTGCTTTCACTGTACCCCAACCTGCTGTGGCCTCACCTCCACCTCCCCCTCCATCATATCCCACACCTCCTCTACCAGCATTCACAAACCAACCCCCTCAGACGTACTACTCAAGTCCACCTCCGATGTCTCCTGTCATGTCCCCTTCCTCTCCTCCACCATCCCATTTCCCTGGTTCTCAGTACCCACCTATGCCCCACTATGGCCCTCCAACAGCCCCAAAGCCCTCCACCTTTATTCCTCCTCCTGCCGGGGAGAGGAATGTGGCAACACCAATCAAAACAGGCATACTGGAGGAGAGTGCTGCCAAGAGGGCAAATAAAAAGTCAATGTTCACATTCAAAGAGAAGCCAATCTTAGCTCCGAACCCTGAGCTGCTGTCTTTGGTGCAGGGGGCAGATGAAAGGAAGAAACATGGACTCAAGTCTGTGCCTGAGCCACAGTCCGAAGAAGAGCTACTGGCTCTGGGTGCAGAGGCCTCCAACTTCCTTGCCAAGGAAGAGGTAAAGGCGGAAGGAGCAAGAGCTCCAGAGTGGGCTTCTTGTCTCAAGAGCTCGAGGACCCGACCGAGGGCAGAGCACCGGCCAGAGCAGACCCTTACCAATGTGTCAGGAAAAGGGGCTGAGCTGTTTGCCAAGCGTCAGTCAAGGATGGAAAAATACGTTGTTGAGAATCAGAATCCAGGACAAATTAGGTCTCCTTCTCCCACAATGTCTCTGCCACCATCCTGGGTTTATCCATCAAACATGCCTGGTAGGGTCAAGGCCATTGCTAAAAACTCTGACATCAGTGCTCAGCTTTCACAGAATCTAAAGGCCCAACAGGCAGTGAAGCAAAAACCGAGGCCGAGAGCTGCAGCACCGGAGCCAGTTCCCGAGCCTCCGCCTTTAGAGAACGGATGCTCCAAGATTGAGATGGACTTGTCAAGGCACCGCCCATACCAGCTCAGCTCTTCTCTCTTCATCCTAAACCCCGTCAAGGACCCCATCAGTACCCTTCCCAGAGGAGCACCACAGGCCAAGAACCTAATGGCCCCCCAAACTTTCTCAAGACAGACTTCCTTACCAACCAGCCCCCCCTCACACTTCCAGTGCATGTCTCCTCAGCTGCCTCTCAGCCCCACAGGAGGACCAGAGTATCCATCCAGTCCAGCCCCTGGACATCCAAGGATCAGTTCTCCAATGTCTGCCTTTTCTCCAGAGCGAGTGTCCTCTCCTCGGTCAGGAGTAAAAGCACCGAGGCCCACATTTTCTGCCAAGAAGGCAGGGATTGCCCCACAGGTGTGGAGACCCTCTCTGTACCATTTTTAGAAAGTTTGTTTACATCAGAGGGATTTTGCAGTGATGAAACACACAGTGATAAATGTGAAACAGATTTTGATAGGGCTAAAAGTCACAGTTTTCTGCACTTTTTGTTTATTCTGTGCCTTCTTTTTCTTCTTTTCTTGTGCCTCTTTGTCTTTTGCATTGTAGAAATATATATATAAAAGAGCAAAATCTTGAAATATCGTAATCTGTAATTTAACATAAAATGGAAGATACACTACCTAGTAGTATCAGCTAGGGCCAGAACTTCTCTGTATCTTATAAGAGTTTCTAAGGGAGCGCATTGCATTTTTCAGAAAATATACAATGGCCTATTTTCCCAGTTATCCAATAATCATCCATAGAAAATAAAAAAAAACTGTGCCTTGGTGTAATCAAAATCAGATGTCATTCCCAAAGCCGCTAAGCACATCAGCACTCAAAAACTTCCATTTTCAGTACATTTAAAAATATGATGAGAAACAACCTCACGCTTTTTCCACTGGGCACCAGGGTGATGCTGCTTCACAAAGCACTTTAACAGATGGTCTAGCATCTGCTTTATGATCTACGATTTGCAATTTAATGCTGCTCACTGACGGGAAAGTTGCAGCAAGAGAACTCCTTTTATGTCTTTATGTCTTTAGGGTAATTTACTGCGCTTTGCAGCATGTTCTACCTAAATATATGGTGTGTGCTCAGATCCTTTGGTGTCTCAAATCTGCCTGTGGCATTCAAATTTGTACTATGGACCTACAAATACATTGTTTTCCTAACTTGCCAATCCCTGTTGTTTCACACGACAGGGTTTGTCTCTGTTTCTTCTCTTACACCTTGACTTACTGCTCTTTTCTGCTGTTATCCTGTCTGTTTTTGTGTATGACTGAATCTGTCCTTCCCTGATTAAAGCTTTATTCTAACACTCTGTAGTGAACTCTTTCTCCTTTTTCTTATTTTCTGACTTGGCTGGTCTCTTTCAGCCATTAATTTCACTCTTAAGTGTTTGCTATTTCATTTTCCTGCCTTCTATGCAATCACTGTGAACATTTAAAAATGCTAGTAAATTCTCTAGTCTCTGTTAAGTACACAGATGATATGCAATGGGGGGCAGATCTGTTTCATAACAAAGTCTGTGACATTTCAAGCTCTAAAATAATTATTTAACCTTTCCATTACAAGATATTTCACACTTACATAAGAAGTTTAGTTATGTATGTTGAGGTTATGACATGAACTTTGGTCCAGTTGATGTTGAGGGGCTCAGACATTGAGACAAATCATCTTTGATGAGGGCCTTGTTTCTTACAAAGAAGCCCTGAAATTTTCATCTTAGAACTATACAAGTTCCTATGAGTTCAGTTTATACTACGAAAAACAGTTTTCATATTATCCCAAGCAGAGATAGTTAGTTCTTAATTAACATAAGCATAAGATGGAATGCAGCCCTCACTTCAGTCAAGTAATTTCATATCCCTGTAAAGGTTAACCACCTCACAAGGCCACATGACAGTAATCTGAGAGAGACACTAAAGACTGGGCCTATGTGTCCTAGCAGCCAGGCTTAATGAAGGAACACACATAGGAGGAGGGAACACACAGAGATGACCTGAATGCTACTGGGGATATATTATCTTATCAAAACAAATTCACTTATTAGAATTGTTAAATCATTCTTATGGGATTGTCATACAAAGTTTAACAACAAAATGCTGGTAGCTTATGAACATAACATCCTGTTGAGGTCAAATTAAAACATTTAGGTTTGGATTTATTTCTTATAATGCTGTATAGGAAGTATATAAATGTATGTGTTGTTGTTTCCACAAGTTTAAAAATACTGTTTTTTATGGTCCAACAGACATCAAAGGAATCCTCCCCTGTTGAAATTCCCAGTGAGACACCAACACCAACCAGGACCCCCAGCCTTGCCAGACGTTTCAGCAGCCCAGCAGGTCCATCCACTGGAACCTGGACATCCAACCTCCAAACCAGCCACCCCTCCACCACCATCTCTAGCTCTATCCGATCAGTCACTTCTCCTGTATCCTCTCCCAGTAGTACAAGATGCCAGTCCCCTATGGCCAGTCAGAATATTCAGTTTTCCACTGTTAACTCCACTTCCGTATCCAGACCCTCCCAAACACCTACAGCCACCTCTCCATGGGGTTCAAGATGTCAGTCCCCAATGGTCGGCCAGTCCCCCACTATTTCTTCCACTCCTGCTTTCAAACCTTCCCAAACTTCTAAAATCTCTTCTCCACTTTCTCCTCCTTGGGGTGTAAGAAGCCAGTCCCCAATGGTCACCCAGAATAACAAGTCCTCCACTGCTGCCTCCTTCTCTACATCCAGACCTTCCCAGACATCTGCAGCCACATCCCCATGCTCTCCTCCTTGGGGATCAAGATGCCAGTCCCCAGTGGTCAGCCACAAAACTCAGTCTTCCACCCATTCCTCTATCCCTACATCCCCACCATCCCAAATTTCTACAGTTGCTTCTCCTCCTTGGGGATCAAGATGTCAATCCCCATTTGTGAGCCAGAATGCCCAGTCCTCCAGTGCCTTTATTTCCACATCCAGGCCCTCCCAAACATCTACAGCCACATCTCCTGTATCTCCTCCATGGGGCTCACGTTCCCAGTCTCCTGCACCTTTTCAAACTAGTTTGTCCTTCCCTGCCACCAAACCTCTGCACACATCCTCTGCCACCTCTCCTGTTTCTCCACCCAAAGACAGTCGCTGCATGTCCCCCATTGTTAACAACCTAGACTCTAAAGCCAACCATCGCCTCTTGGCCAAAAATATCATCAATGCAGCCAAACGTAAAAACAGCCCCTCCCCTGGTGCACTGAGCGGTCACAGCCTCCCCATCTCTCCTCTGGGAAATTCCCACCACGGCTACGACTGTCATAAACCACCCATCAGTCCCTTCCAGTCACGGGCACTGGGCTCCCAGTCTCCAACTTTCACCAGCCCTCCTCCCACTCCAACTCAGAGAATCTGCTCACCTGTGAGGCTCTACAACACTCGCTCCCTAACCGACTCTGATGCCTCCGTGGAGTCTGAGGACTCGGGCCTGCGATCACCTGGCCTGCACTCCTACAACACCTGCCCCCGTGGCTGGGGAGGGAGCCTGAGGGTGAAGAGAAGCACCGTCTCCACTGACCTGTGAGGGTGTCACTGGATGTTAACTAACGCATTACTTTCATAGACGTTTGAGGCATTGGATCGCTCAGTAAAAGACTTCCTGATGAAGTTTCATCAGGCTATTATGACACAAGTTACCTTTCTGTGCCTTTGATTGCTGATTCTAGACAACGGTAAATATTGTATTGAGGTAGTTTTAGTATTTTATATAACTCGCATTCATAGTAAGGTCTGACAAGAACAAGCTTTTTACAAACTGCATTTTGCTGGCTTGTACGCTTTTTACATACCAAAAAGTGCAAAGACTCGAAATAACCAAAGATATCTGAATTCACTTTTAATAAATATCATACTTTTACACCTTCTTTACCACAAACATACCTTCACAGTCACTATTACAGTTAAACATTTTTCAGTGGAGTGTCAGTTTTAAACATTATTAATGCGTTACTATATTTGCTGGTCAGATGCAAGTAAAAATGGGAAGCGATTTGAACATTTTCAGGCATACAAGGGACACATGGAATATGTAAATATATAGCTCAGTGGACTGTACAGTGCTTTGTTTGAGGCATTCTTGTTGTATTGTGGTAACGAATAATCAAACTATACAGTCAGCTCAGTTCTGGGTAAAATGACTTTCCATTATTTTTCCATCACAAAAACACAGTGGTAGGTAGGACACATGCTACTCACGTTATCATGAAAGGTGAAGGTATTTGCCACGGTTTATTATCCATTTTAACCAATGTTGAATAAATCACATGTATAATTATCTCAGTGCAATAATCAGTTTACTGCAGTGTACATATGTTGCTCGAAGTACTGGATTTGCTCACGTGAATGTAAGTTGTAGAGACAGACTGACGAAGAATGACAGAAAAAGGGAGCGTTGAACAGGAAGAGTTACGTGAAGGTGAAATAGGGCATTGACATACCTGTTTAATCAATCACTGTTTCCACGTTTCAGGAGAAAGATGTCAAAGTTGTTGTTTGTGGATCACAAATAGACTTTTTTTTTTTATGTGTCAGCGAAGTCTTTTAGGAGGAACTGATTCAAATGTATTGTCTGTGTGGATGAGCCTGTTTGTCACTAGAAGGTGCAAGATGTTGTTGAAAAAAAAGATTGGAAGAATGTTGCATGTTGTAAAGCGTCTGTGAGGAGAAGATCGGAGGAATGATATGTATTTTAAATACATAAAAAAAACTCTAATGTACATTCTCTTTAACTTCTAAAGTTTCTTTTTATACTTGATTTGCACTTCTGCTCATTCCATTCCAATGGCTAAAATGGCATTGTTCAAAACTTGATACGCGCAAACAGGTGTCATTCCCATTTAAGCTGCAAATTAAAGGCCTACTGTAAAAAAAAATAAAAATAATTAGGCCAGCCAAGTGTAATGCAACATGTTGATATGATGATGGCAATTAGCTGCAAACATGACTGCTGCCAGAACTAGCTCTCTGTTTCAAATGTGGAACTATTTAACACCATTCCCACCTTAACCCCAGTTCTGTTCCAGCACAACAGATCATCCCTTCGTCCCCCCTGCAAGACTCGGTCGGCCAAAAGCATCAGCACATTTCTAAATATTTACTCTGTGCGTCTTTTGAGTGACAGGAACTCCTGCTGCATGGTGACCTGGTTCCTTCAGCAGGATTGAGAATATCACTGTCATGATTCGGTTTCGACCTGGGTCACCTCTGGACAGACTCGAACAGAGAAAAGTTTTTGAGTTTGCAAGCAGGTGTTTCTGGTTCTGTGGTCGTATTCCTGCCCTGTTACTATCCCAACTCATGTTGCATTTCGTAACTGTATAATTTCTGAATGAATTAATGCAAAATAAAAGATGACACACCAAATTAAATACTTTTGTTTTCCTGTTGTTTTATTATTTTCATTCATATCACCCTGCACTCGAGACAGGTTTATTTATTTCTACATATACATCTTAATAGAATGTGAATTGGGTCATGTGATGCACAATAATTCCCATACATTGATACAGTTCAATTATTATTTGCAATATACATTCAATTTGCCCTCACTGTGAACTCGGAGCATTAAGTTAACAACATAGGCTGCAGTAATCCTGTACGCTGCCTCTTAAACATGGATTCATATTTCATTTTAAAGAACATTAACTGCCCTCCCATTAAAATTGTATGACGATGTAGTCAGTGTATTCTGATGCAGTTTAATAGTTGTCATGAGCGTCTGTTTTAAGACATACCAGGAAACCTCTAACACAAAGCAATACATCAAACATAATTAGCTTTAATATATAATTTACATGTACTTATATGCCACTTACTGATGCATTCGCTCACAAGCTGTTTATTGCCTGCAGTAATGACATATGTAGCAACAACCGCCACATTTGCAAAGCTTATTCCTTTGGTTTTACAGTCTTCTGTTGTGTTCACTGCCAGTGCAACATATTACATATTTGCGGTGATAGTGAGGGGACTGGCATGTCCCAAACAGCAGCACCCAGGGGGGGAGAAAAAAAAGGAAACTAAAGCCATATTTATCAAAGGTTCATAGACTGCCATCTGTAGGATTCCAGACAGAAGTTCAAATAAAGCAGCTCTGTTTGAAAAAAGTCTGCGCAACACACATCTGCTCCTCAAAATAGTTCAAAGCAGCCACATATTCAATGGTGTTATGTATGATCTTCTAAAATAATTTCTCAAAGCATTTAAATGAGATAATTTGTCCAGCTAGAAACTACTGTTTAAAAAACAAACAAACATACAAACAATAAAAAAAACACTTTAGTCTCCCTTATTTTTCATAATTAGGGGGGATGTCATTCCTATTCAGACCACTGCCGGCATTTTAACCTGTCATGGCAGGAAAACAAAAGGTGCAATCAATAAAAGTAATCAATTATAACACCTTAGAGTTTAATTTTGCATAATTATGCATGCTTTGTAAACAATAATCCACTGTTGTTATGTAATCAGAAAAATGCCACAAATAATGAATTATTTTTCCATCTAGTAAGCATAAAGGAGAAAATTAGTATGTTTTGCCTCTTACAGTCTGGAATGTGTCAATGATTATTACCAACATTGATTCTGAAGCATTATTAATTTCTATGCATTTTCAGATTTTTGATAAAAACTGAGACTGAGAGGACAACAAGTCAAAAAGAGCCACTTGCAGTAATCTGCACCAGACAACCTGGATGCTGACTTACATCCTTGTGCAGAGCTGTCTCTTTGGGGGAAAAGGTGACATCTCTGTGTCACACATTTAATTGAAAAGATTCGCAAGAGAGCCACACATTAGATTTCTCATTCACAACTCTTCTCTGGTTATATTTTTGGCACACTTTTCCTGAATAAGAACACAGCACATGTTAGGTTTTAAAAATAGCCGAATTGCTGTGAATGGTGAGGAAAACAACATGGACTGTATGCCACGGGATTAAAATGATGTTGTCGATGATGTTCCCACATGTTTTCCTAAATTAAACAATAAGCCTTGGCAGTTCCTGTTGCACACGTTAACCTCAAGTATGACACTTATTCTCTGTGCGATCAAGGGGTGAAATCAGGATGCTCTGGATTTCTTTTTGCTGTGGATTCAGTGAAAACCTTCACTGAGACACAAGAGGCCGCTCTTGAAGTGAAAAGGGCGAAAGGCAGCGCAGTGGTTTTCTGGTTTGACAGCAGGGGCTTGTTTTACACTACAAAACAACAAGGATGAAGACTACAAGCGACGGAGCACTAACACAGATAACACTATGAGGTTTAGCTGAAAAAAAAGGACACCGGCTTTCCCTCGATCTTCCGGTGTTTTGCGGCGAATCCGACGCCAGGCAACTTGGATATCGACACTACTGCAGATGAATGTCTGTGCCTTTAGTTAAGTGCCCCTGGAGCTGTTGTTGTTGTTAGCTGCTAATGCTAACCGTAGAAGTTGCGAGCTAGCTGGCCTAGCAAGCTAATGGTTAACGCGAGAAAGAAAGGGATAATTAGCCACACATGTCTGATTTAACCGACCCAACGCTGTCCGGGGAGTAAAGTCGGGCTTGTTTTGCTAATGGAGCCAGCTAACTTTGATTTTAGCCGTTCAAGAAGTGTAGCTTTGGCTGAGCTTTTGAAGTACCAGTCGTTGTAGTTACCTAGCTTGCCAGTTAGCCTCCACTATCCTTGGAAGAATGAGTAGAAAACACCATCATTTTAAAGGAAACGAAGTCAGCTGCTGCGTGAAATACTTCTTATTTGGATTCAACATTATATTCTGGGTAAGTTAACACAGTCACATCACAGGTTTAGTACAAAATAAAACAACGCTAGTGTTGCTAATTAGAAGTAAAATGAAAATATTGTGGTGAAGTTAGCTTGACGTGAGGGCTGGAAAACTGTCCTTAAGTAGTCGCTCAGGTCTCACTAGTATGCTTAGTCACATACTTTAAATACATATGTCATGCTTTATTAATCTGCCAATGTGTTGTTCTGGTTTAATACCTGTTTTCTGTGGTGTCTTGCACAACAGATTAGCTCGTTACCTTGATTGAACTAGTTGAGAAAGTGTGGAGTTATTTTTAAATGTGTGCTCATGTGTGATTTAACTTCAAATCACTGTAGAAGTTCTTGCTATCAATTGACAATATTATTTCTTTTTCACATACCTCTACTTATTCTTAAGTCTTTTCTCTATTAAACAGTTGGCAGCTTTTTCTTTCATGAAGTTAACTTTTGCTTCTAAACATCAAGAGATTGTGAATAACTGTTTCTAGAGGAACCTCTGCCAGTGGTTTGGTCCCTGCTCTGTGACATGTGTTGTTGTTGTGTTGAGTCTGAGAAAATGACATGATTTGTATTGTTTGGCCAGTGGCAAGTAATCCCACGTCTCCTTTACAACAACCCCCCCTCGGTCTTTATCACTCCTTCAGTCTGAAAAGTTTCTCTGTTCAGACTCCCTCATCCCTCCCTCCTCACCCGTCTGCGTGGCCTCAGTGTGGCTGCTGTCGTATAATGTCTGTGGGTGAAGGAATGGCGTGTCTGTGCCCCAGAGGGTCTTCCCACACGCAGTTGTAAGGGAAAGGCCACACGGCATGAATGCAGCCCAGCCCTCCTCTTTTCAAGCATCCCTTTCACGGCTATAGTGCTCGGGCTCTGCGGGACGGCATTGTTTCTCCCAACTCACACACACCCACAAACGCACAAAGAGGGATGGTGAGAACAAAGAGGGTGAAGGGTGGGGAAAGGGGGCAACCGGGTGCGATTCTGTGTTTCCTCCCGTCATATGCTCACTCTGTTGGACCCATCAGGTACACGAGATCACGACTTGGCTCGGTCCCGTTCGCCACCACCTCCTCCTCGTTCCTCAACGCTCCCTTTTCGAAATGTACGCGATTACACCATCTGTCGTGCTATTCTTTTAAAACACAGGTAATAAGAAGTGACAAACATGCCACAAGAGCCGGAGTTTAGTACGGAAAAAAGGCGCAAAATGCATTTTGCAATTGGTCTCACAAATAAAGTGGGTTGTAACTCAATTGAACTGAGCGATCAACCAGGAAATATTGAGTCATAGGGCATATAGTGTTGTGTCTAACTCGTATTGTGTTCTCGCAGACTGTTTGACACTCAGGCCAAGCTAACAGTCCTGTGTCTGAGCTCTGTGTGAAACTGTGGAACAAGTTCCAGCTCGCTGGCTGTTTCCGTTAATAATCACTAGAAGATGTTCTGCTCTTGTCTGTGTGCTGCGGAACTGGATTTGACAGACAAGCCAGAGCATTGCAGAAATAGAGAGAGATGGGGTTTATTCTCCCCAAATCAACCCATTTGTCTTTCCCATAGTGATCGTGTCAGGCTTGAAAATGCTGCCTAAATTGAGACAAAATGCTTGTAGGCCCATAAATATCGTCAACGAAATGAAGCAACACAACCTCGTGCCTCTCTTCTGCGCGAATTCTTCCAACGCCTCGGCTCGCTGTTGACAGCCAGACATTCTCGCCCGAGAACAGCACACCTTCTCTCGTCCTTAGAATAGACACATTCCTCACATCCACTTAATTAATCACATTTTCTGCCTGAGCTGCTGAAATGTTTGGAAGCTCTGCATGCTGTAATTAAGAGCTTGTTAAGCTGTAACCCAAGTTGCTGAGTTGGTTGGATGCTGTCTGAGTGTTATTAGCCAGCTACACCTCGACGCATCTGCACACGTTTGACACTAAAATACGCACTGGATGACCACATCACAGGTGGACAGCTGCAAAGAACCAAGTGGGAGTGCAGTTACTTGGGGTCATACCGCTCGAGCTGCATTGAGGGTTAGTCAAGGATTCACGAGTCTGCATGCAGTATGCGTCTGTTTTGCATTAAAGGGAAACAGCATCGTAGACTTATACGCTGTCCTTTCTGTATCAAATAGAATAGTCAAGTGTTTTTGGGGAACTGATCTGCAGATTAATTGAAAAATGTTGAATTGCAGCCATGGCCTGATGAACCTCCTGAATACAGCTAATATCAGTATCCAGGACAAGATACCAAATAACAGCTCTTTTACTGTTTACTAGTGCTGTATGTTTTGTGTCCAGCACGATTTGGCTTTTCTCACAGATAAAATCAAATGTGAACAGGCAGGCAGAGTTCACTCACAGGGACATTTATCTCAGTAATATCTTTGAACAGAACGTAAACTTCTCTTGATTACAGCCCCAGAGCAGTTTGGTCTGGACAGTCCATTCTAGCTGGGATGTCACAATCATTTGATAGTTGGTGCCAAAATGACAGAAATTCTGATTCTCTGTACCTATTTTGATACCAAAAAACTGTAATGAAGGTATTTTGACATCTGTTCTTATTTGGAAAAAACTTTAATAGAGCTTTACATTATTAATGATGC